GCAACAGTTTTCACCCAGGTGATACTGTAAATAAAAACATAATTTAAATCTTCTGGTATGAAACTCACAACTTCTAAAGCTGAACTATATATGAAAAAGGCCAATGACTGGTCAACAATCTTATGGCTCTCGATGTTCTAATTGATCAACAAAAAATACGAAAATCATAACAGAAAATTGAAATACATGTAGCATAATGAACGTAAGTTATCTCTTAGACTAATCACGCCTTGTTGATTGTCAGATTCCAAACAGTGAAGGTTTCCATTTACTGACTAATATGTACAATGGTGTCGGATTATTATTTATTACTAACATGCTCAAAGTAAAATAAGAATAAAAAGTCAATCGAATGCCTAACCGATTTTTGTAACTGCCTCAAAGTCGAAAATAAAAGGTATATCTAATACATAATGTTGATGAAAAGTTGTAAACAGAATCCGATTGTAAACTATCAACAAACTAAGTAAAACATTCATAGCGCATGCTAAAGAAAAGTTTATAAATGACTGACGAAGATATTCGATAGTCAAAATCTGGGACTTAAAATGATTTTGTCTCAGTCAAAATCAAAATCCATCGACAAATAATCAAAATCAATTATATATTTACATAAAGGACATCAACGTTTATATCTGCTTTTTATTTGTAAGACAATGATAATCAGCTCAGTATGGTTATCAGTAAAATACATGTTTTACGAGTATAATTATACTATTTTAGTCAACTTTTACACGATAAAATGTTAAAGATAATTAAGCGATTTCTAAAAGTATATGTAGCCTATTTAAGCACTTTAAGCGTTAGAAATAAACTGTGTTTACGATATTTATAAAGTAGATTTAGATCATGACAGATGCTTATCGTGGGAAGAAAGCAGTGTAGAACGCATAAAGATATGTCAAAAAAGTAGGTAAACGTTAAAAGCCGTATAATGTCTTCAAAAACAACAACAACAACAACAAACAAACAAAATCGTTTATTCTATTTAGTTCGGCACACTGTTTTCTCGTTTAGCGCAAATGCATTCTTTTACTTGGGGACCACACGCTGCTTTTAGGAATTCTGCTTATCTCTATTTCAGTACAGTACATAAACATTTTACGAAAAACAACATAAGAAAAATATTAATACAATAATCTATATATAATTATCTGTATATAAGGACGTGAACTACAGTTATATTCATATTAGGAATTCTGTCAGATGCACAAAATGTTTCTTCTGTAAAATTGCTAGTTGCAATATCTGAACGTGACAAATGGTTGATTAAATCGATTATTTTGTATTTAGAGGTAATCTTCTTAGTATCAAGAAGCAATTGTTTGTGAAAGAAATTAAAAAGAAACAAAGAAAAAGTGTATAGGTTTTAACTGCCTTAATAACATTTTGTGTTTCGATCGCACTCATATCATTTTTATTTGTTTGGGTCGTCAGACCAAACAAATAATGGTAGCGAAATTTGAGACCCTGATGCTATTAATTGCAAATGCCGAAAGTAGTCCGCTTTTTTGAAGTGGTTACTTCCCTTTATATGTACACTAAAGCCGAAAAATTCAGGGGAGTTCACTGCGTAAAGATTGTCAAATGACAGGCGCATTAATTTTCAAGCAAAATAGTTCCCGAATGGTCGAAGATTTCTAATATTGTTTTATTCTTTATAGATATACATGCTTATAGTAAGCTCCATGATTATTTACATCTGTGTTAAACAACAGGTTTAGCGTCGAAATAATAAATTTAGAATAATATGGTTTTCTTCAGGCGGTTAACATATAACTTCAACGTGGCCGAGGGGTTTACACGCTCGCTTAGGAAGCGAGATGTCTGGAGTTCAAATCCCAGTTAAGGCAACTCACTTTTTTTAAATTGTTTAAGTCAAATAAACATTGAACTGAATATCAGAGTTGCAATTAGTCTTATAGCCTTATAGCCAATTTACTACAGTTAAAACACTGGAAAACATTGGTTGCACTTAACAAAAACAAATTGGTTTATAATCTCACAACCTTCACCTTTCTGACATTCTGATACCCAAACAAATTCAGCGCCTTCTGTGCTTTGATTTTTTATTGTTTAATCCCCTTTTTGTTATTTCAATGAAATCTAGTATTATCTATATCCTACCTTATTACATATACAGGTGTATGTAAAAAGAAAGGAGGTCTGAGGCAGTTTAGAAAAAGAAAACGTCAATGGGATTGCAATGTGTTATCTAGAATGCCTTACAATGTTAAAAAACAGATATTGCCTTTGTTAGTTTAAGGATAAACCAAAGGCGTGCTTCTTAGTTCATCAAAAAGAAAATATTTGATGGTTTTGATCATTTAATTTTGATAAAAAACAAACATCTCAAACAATAAGGAACTGACATACAAGGGAGTTATAACGTGTATATCCATTTAGATACAAATGTAGTTTACAATTCGAATGTACAATCTCGTGATGCTACAAATTCGATTGTTAATGCTATATACTATTTACGCATGAAAATTCACCGTAAAGAACAAGAATGTGTGCGTACAGTGAGTTTATCGGACCAATTATATTACATAATTATGCAGATGTAAGTATTATTAGGCTATGGTCGCCATGGGGTAAGAACTTTTTTCTTGCCCAGCGTTCACACTCACATCCAAACGGTCACTGACCAATTCATGCTGTTTATCCAATCACAGTTATCATATGAATTAATATACCAAAAAGAGAGCGGCGATTGTAGCAAACCAGTCTACAAGATAAATTAAGCTCCGTATTAAATTGAATTGAGCAATATGAAAGATCTATAATAACTGATATGACTGCGCAGTACTGATTAGTACATTTGTACCACAAATTGAATTCGGACAGTTACATACAGTCTTTTAATTAAATCTGGGGGAAATCGTTCATCGTTTTTTAGGAAAATTTCAAAATGTGAACTGATTAAATAGCGAACAGTGCAGACCATGATAAGACTGCACAGTCGTACCTGCTGATCGTGGTCTGCGCTGGCCGCATGGGTTGATTCCGTCGCCACAAAAAGGCTTTTGTAAGGGACGATCTCATAATAATATGCATGCAGATGGCCCTGTATCCTGTAAAATATTTACATAACTAGCCAGGCGTACAAAGTACCTCAAGTTGAGGTACCGTGCAATGAAATATTGTCTTCATTCAATAAAGCTATGTTCTATTGTGTTTTATATGTATTGATATAATATATGAGAATTATGTTTACCAATAAACGAAGTGACCAAATTGCCCCTGTAAAAAGGTTAATTTAACGTCATGCAGTGTTGTCATTTCTTTAAAAAATACATAACATTTATGTCCAATAAACAAATATGTCGCATAATTATTATGTAGCAACTTGTGAATTTACGTGGTTTAAACGTATATATACAGTTTAAATCAATAAAATACATTACAATGTAAATATTTCAATCAGGGTTAAACATTTTTTTCTTTGAAATTACGTGGAATCATTGTGGAACGGTGAAAATGACGTGACATCTAATGCAACTTAATTGTACTTCTATTTTTAGATGTCAGACACGCGCTAAGATTAAACGAGTAAAATACAAATATTAATGAAATTGCACTGTAATAAAATGAATGGTTTTAAAAGGAAAGAGTGACATGTTTTAATTATTTCATCAACTAATTTCAAAATGTCCCGCTGGTTTCCTGAATGTGTTAAATGCCATTCAGGAAGAAAATATGTTTACTTGCTTATTGCAATTAATTCAGGCCATTTCGAAACATAAGGAAATTGTTTTCTTAATATCATGATATTGTTTAACCTTGTACTTTAAAAAAGACGCCGTATTCTGAATGTATAATTTCATTGATTGAAACGTACTTTTAAACGTTGATAGTTAAGCCTACGCCACATTATAAACAAGCGGGGACCGTCCGAAATAGTAGATCAATGTGACATCATTCGGAGAGAAACATTTCAATCATGTCCAGTAAGAAAGGGGTAGTCATTCACCCTCTGTAGTCCGGTAGGTATTCGGGTACTCGTGTACGATTAATAAATGTCGACCGGTATACACATCCATCGTACGGTGAATGTAGGCGGAAACATGCTACGCTACAATTAAACATGTCTCGGTATAGCTTGCTGTATATGTAAATTATGTAAGTGTTCAAGAAAAGGGTGAAATTTAAATATAAAAGTAAAAATGAAAGTTCTGACAACATAATGTTCTTTAAAAACCTTTAAACTTGTGAAAAACATATAAATATTGCAGAAAATAATGTTTTAAAGCCATAATCAAAACAATTTGAATTCTATATGTAGGGTATACGGGCAATCCGTTCAAGTCAAGTCAAGTAAATTTTATTTATAAGTCGGATACATATAAAAAATTAGTTTATTTGATAAATAACAAATCTAGAACTCTAGCTAAATACATTGTCAAATCATACTTGTACAGACGTGAAAGCATTAATTTTAGAGATAAACTTATAGTTATAGCTACGATTTTTTACAAATGAATTTGTTAATATATTTACTTAAGACTTTATGTAAATATTTCATGTTTATTGAAGGTGACTTATAGGCCCATTGGGCCGGGTGTATTTAATATGTTGTATTATTTGAATTTGTAAAATATGTTTACACATGTCACTATAATAAATAATTACTTACTTACTTACTTTATAACGATAAACATAAGCTCTGATGAGCTTTTTACACCGACTACCGTCGGCTATCGGACGGTATTTGCAATGGTATGGCATGTCTTTTTCCTCTTCTGTCCCCCATTTTCCCCTTGTTTTCTATGTGAATTCCTTGCCCTCTTCCCCTACCTTTTCTTTGTAGGAATAATATACTTTAAAATCATAAATAAATTTATTAAATAAATAAATAAATAAATAAATAAATAAATAAATAAATAAATAAATAAATAAATATCTTATTTAAATAAATAAATAAATAAATAGGATCTACTGTGTAAACCTTTCGCTCACTAATTGTGTTTATTTCGTTTATAATACTATAATATACGTATTCATTAGACATTATTAGAGTTATTCCCCCTTATGCAAATTACGCCATTTGTTTGCACATAAGTGAAAGGTAAGTGACAGATGTTTATTTATGAATTTTCAAGTTGAAACAATAAATGTCTAACTTATTAATACAATAGAAAGTTTGTATATGATTATTTGCTATGAACACTGTAAATCTGACTGACATTTTGTTTATCACTTGGCCTATAGGCCTATCTGTTTACGTAATTTGTATGTCAAATTGTGTGTACATGATGTCGCGATTACCCACTTGTCCCGTATTTTATCTTCCAAATCCAAGGTCGCTGGTAAATGTGTAATTGTTTAAGGCATTTAAATGATATTATTCAGTGATTATCGTTTCATACCGTTATAATTGATACCTAATTAAGAATTAGTGGTGGCATAGCAAACAAGTTAAAGTGATCATCTGCTCATAATGTGTTTAGTACCACACTGGACACCAATGTCACAGGGTAGAATTATACCTACAAACTTTTGGTGTAGGTTTGTTAATTTAATATAATACAAAGAAAAAGCCTAAAATCATAAATACATGATTCTATAAATAGAACATTCCATTGTGCAAGATTTATTGGCACTTGGTGTTGATCGATTTCCGCCATCTTGTTTTAATATAGCAAATTTATCAATTTTACGTTTCCAAATGTGTTTGCATTTTTACCCATTACTGTACTGATAATACATTTGTAATTTACATCTTCCTAATCTCCATTCTTTTTCACATATTTACAAGATATTTTTCATCCCTTCTTTTTATTCTTGTGACAAAGTTAAGATACATGTAACATGGTAGTGTGCGTATCTGTAAATTTTCTTGTGTTAAACATGTCAGAAAATACAAACAATAGACTTTAAGGAAATAATAATTATTAAGAAAGTGTCAACTTTTTGTGCATTTCTACTTGTAATTGTTGTATCATATATTTGATGGTTACTGAAAAACTGTAAATTGATACTTGGTTGAATAATTGCTTTATGGTTTAATGTTTAAACTGCTTTTTTGTTTAAAATAGACTTTTTATAGCAAAATGTAAAGATAAAGTTATAAACTAGTTGTTATTATATTTGATATGTCTTTCTTAAATATTGATATGTTTGGTACAGTGAAATAAAAAATCACATCCCAAACAAAATAATCATTTAAAATTAAGACAAGATAAGGTTAACCAAGATCACTTGCATCAGGTGAACTTTTGCTTCTGTCACGTTCAGTGTAATGTGATATTTGTATAGCACCTGTAGTTATGTGTTGTTTTTGTTTTCAGATGTAGGTTAATGAAGTATGGAAAATGATTCAGCTGGAGGAATACAAACACATCTTGTGAAGTTTGATCAAATAACTGTGAAACAAGAAGTTATAGATGGAGGATATAGTGTAGCTGTCCCCGGTAGTAAATTATGCTGTGATAGACGTCAAGATCAATGTGAAATTTCAGACAGTTATCTCACAAGAGATGAAAATAATGCCCAATGTTTAGATAACATTTGTTTATCTTTTGCCAGGCCAAAAATTGAGACTGAAATTCCAGTGAAAAATGAAGAATTTGAACAAGGAAGGAAAGAACCTGAAAACAAGATTAAAGGACACGGCAGTGAGACAGAAATAAAAAAGGAACATGAATATGATAATACTATAGAATTTGATAACACTAACTTAATAACAATAGAAAAAGGGTCTGTAAAGCTCGAAAGAGCAGTAGATGTTAAGATAGAAAAAGCAGATGAAACATATGAAGAAACCGTGGTTGCTTACCAGCAATCAAATGCTGGAGGGGTTAAGGTTGAAATTGTTGAAGCAACAGAAACTAACAAGAGTGTTAAAGATGACAAAGTGGCTTGTTCTCTGACAGGCAGTAAAACAGAAGGTGTAATTGAAGGTGATGATGATGGTAATGTACCAGGTATGGTTACAATGGAAGAATGTACAGGGAGAGAAGATCAAGCTCAGATGGAAAAGAAGGGCTATTTGTGTAAAGTGTGTAAAAAGGTAATTTATTTCATGATGATTTTAATATTTTATTTTTATTTCAAAATGATTAAATGATTATTTTATCACATGTAATAACAGTAATATTAAAGGGACTCCACTGAGTGAGGTGTTTTGACATGAATGGAACTGGAAATATTTGTTTTCGAGATTTATGCTCCATATAATGCAGGTCTAGACAACTTCTATGAGAAATCTCTGATCATTCATTCACTTTGCCAGTACTGAATAACTAACTATTCTATTTGTGAAAAAGACTCTAAATGGAAAACTGTTGCAATGCTTTTCACTCAAATGGGGCTGAAAATAGAACAAAAATACAATTTCCAATCTTTTATGGTTGTATTTCTTAATAATATTTTGAATATCTTTATGTTTTTTAATTGCCCCAGCTGATCTTTGTAAGAAATTTAAGTTTTATGTTTTTAGATTTTTTGACCTCAGTGGAGTTCCTTTAACATATTGTGGGGTGGTTTCATGGAAATGAGTCATGCATTCTCATTTCTTATAATATGTAGAAATCTTAGCATTTGATGTTGACTTTCTTTATTTAACAGAACACAATCATGAACTTCTCTAGTTGCAAAGCAGGGCAAGTGACGAGTTCATTACTCAAATTTAATTGGTTAAGGCCTAAAATATAGTAGTGTTTGTTTCCCTTCCCACTATTTACCCACAGAAATAAGTACTACTCCCAAAAATGTTGCCAAAAATGTTACTTGTTTTTTTTTTACTATTTTTTTACTAAGCATGGAAGCAGAGTCTTCCAATAATGGTTACATCTTTATATCTGTCTTTGGTCACATCTTTAAATCTGTCTTCAGTCACATCTTTATATCTGTCTTTGGTCACATCTTTTTATATCTGTCTTTGGTCACATCTTTTTATATCTGTCTTTGGTCACATCTTTATATCTGTCTTTGGTCACATCTTAATATCTGTCTTCAGTCACATCTTTATATCTGTCTTTGGTCACATCTTTATATCTGTTTTTTGGTCACATCTTTTTATATCTGTCTTTGGTCACATCTTTATATCTGTCTTTGGTCACATCTTTTTATATCTGTCTTTGGTCACATCTTTATATCTGTCTTTGGTCACATCTTTTTATATCTGTCTTTGGTCACATCTTTATATCTGTCTTCGGTCACATTTTTATATCTGTCTTCAGTCACATCTTTATATCTGTCTTTGGTCACATTTTATATCTGTCTTTGGTCACATCTTTATATCTGTCTTTGGTCACATTTTATATCTGTCTTTGGTCACATCTTTATATCTGTCTTTGGTCACATCTTTATATCTGTCTTTGGTCACATCTTTATATCTGTCTTTGGTCACATCTTTATATCTGTCTTTGGTCACATCTTTATATCTGTCTTTGGTCACATCTTTATATATGTCTTTGGTCACATCTTTATATCTGTCTTCAGTCACATCTTTATATCTGTATTTGATCACATCTTTATATCTGTCTTTGGTCACATCTTTATATCTGTCTTTGGTCACATCTTTATATTTGTCTTTGGTCACATCCACATCTTTATATCTGTCTTTGGTCACATCTTTATATATGTCTTTGGTCACATCTTTACATCTGTCTTTGGTCACATCTTTATATCTGTCTTTGGTCACATCTTTACATCTGTCTTTGGTCACATCTTTATATCTGTCTTTGGTCACATCTTTATATTTGTCTTTGGTCACATCTTTATATCTGTCTTTGGTCACATCTTTATATCTGTCTTTGGTCACATCTTTATATCTGTCTTTGGTCACATCTTTATATCTGTCTTGAAAGTAAGTATACAAAGTTAGATATATGTTGAATAAGTACAAAGTCCTAACCAAACTGGCATGGGTCACGGGAAGGGGAATAAACATATTTTTTTAGGCTGGCCTTAAGTGATTGATTTTAAATAAACTAATCAAGGTGTATGAAAAATTAGGATTTACTTCACATGTTACCCTAAAAATGTTACAGTTTGAATAAACAATCTATATTACAAATTCAACCTGCACATTTTAAACTTTGAAATTTTAATTATTATGCATAATATGTTCTAACTGTAAATCTCTGAATTTTCAGATATTGTGGTTTATTTTTTATTTTCAGACATTTATTAAGAAGAGTAGTTTAAGCAGCCATGAAATAACACACACTGGGGAGACACCTTTCAAATGTCAATTCTGTAATAAAGGTTTCAATGTACGAAGTAATCTGAATGTTCATCTGAGAATACATACAGGTATGCTTACAATAATGGCAAATATAACACCTTGAGCTGTAAAAATATGAGTAATAGTATTAAAGTTGTATTGGGCTGCTAGTAATTTGTAGAATGTTTTCTAATACAGTCAAAACTGACATAGTGACCCACTGTATTCAGTGACTTCCTGTCTTATGTGGCCCTGTTCTAGTTTGATTTCGGCTATTAACAACTCACTGTGCACCATGTTACATGACTTAAGCGACCATGATTTGTATTGTCCTGAACATGCCTAGCAATGTTTTCAGGGACTTTATTATGAAAGAAAACTTTCCTGTCTGGTTAATAAATTTCGGAAACAAAGAAAAAACATACATATACAATATTATTCTGACATTATTTGAATAGTTTTATAGGCACTAATTCTTTAATAATAAATTTAACAATCAAATATTCTATTACATTGTAAATGAATACAATTTTTAACACTGTACTCACTTTTAATGCTCTTACCATAAATAGATGTTTTAACACTACATGTATATGCTCTATTATTATTATTGAACTATTTTATTAGATGTTTGACAGTAAACTTGTATCAAGAGATGCCCTGTCTGATGTGACCTTGAATATGTGTATCTGAATTTGCTTTTTTGTTTTATAACTGATACATACCATCTGTGACAACTTTGACAAGAAATTATCTCTATTGCTGTATATTGTACTCAAAATTTGTTTTTAGTTCAAGCAAATTTGATAATGTACATTTTTTGTTTTAACCTTTTACCCCATGAGCATATTGTGAAAAATGACCGTTTTCATTGAAAAGCCTCCTGTTACAAGTTCCAACTGCTATAAAACTATGAAAAATGCTTCAATACTGATGAAACTTGGCACATATGTTGACTGAACCATAACATCTGTAACAACAAAGCCTGTCACATGTCCAAAATTTTCTTGGCGATGAGAGGGACTGCCGCCCCCCCCCCTTCAAACTCCCCAAACAGAAAGGGGCACATTCCCCTTCTGGCAACCCCCTGATGTATCATTTTGATGGGGGCGGCGCCCAAAAAGTGGTCACTTTTTTAACAACATTTCTCAAATGAAAAACAGTGTATGGGGCCTAAATAGGGCATTTTTGCATTGTTTGAGGCATCAAAAAGGGAGTGGGGGGACAAAAAGCCGTCAAAACACGTCTATATGAGGGAAAAGGTTAAACAAAGTTTGCAACTTGTGAAAAACATGCTCTCAACTCAATCTAGAGGCAGAACAGCAGTGTATGGGCATAGACCCCTTGAATGTTACAAATAATTTAATTCTTGTAATTTTTTATGTACCATCACAGGTCAGCGGCCTCATGTGTGCGAAATTTGTCAGAAAACTTTCACGCAAGCTGGACAACTTAAAACACATGAGAGAATACATAAAGGAGAGAAACCATACAGATGTAACATGTGTACACGAGCATTCCGCAGTAGCAGTGCTTTAATTACACATCAAAGAACACACACTGGTATATACATGTACTGTTAGTTTAATGTGCATTAAATAATTGTTTTATGGTGTAATGGTGATCAGTTTGGTAACTATGGTTTTATGGGTCTTCCATGGCTAAGTGGTTAAGGTTGCAATTATTAAATTATTGTTTTAATGGTGTAATCATTGTAATGTTGACCAGTTTGGTAAATATTGATTTGTGGGGCTTCCTTGGCTAGGTGGTTAAGGTTGCTAATTTCAATCACTTTCCCTTTACTGCTTTGAGTCCCAATCCAACCAGGACTTTGGATTATTACATGTAAGTGATATACCAAGCTAGCCTACAATACATCGGTGGTTCCACTCAGGTGCCTGCTCATGTCAGAGAATACTAAATGGAGGAGCTCTGACAATAAAACTGAACCAGTGAAGCAAAAAGTCACCATATGACCTTAACATTGTCAGTCTCATTTGCAACCTTTATAATTATAAATAAATGAAATCAAATCTATCTGACACATAGTTAGGTTGTTATATAACAGAATAAAAAGTTTATGTGTAAGATTTCCAGTAATATCAGAGGTAAACTTTGAATTAAGTTGAAGGTTAAAACAATGCCATGTGAATGCTTAGAGTCACGTCTTTAATTAAACATGAAATATAATATCCCAGCCTTTATATGATGTATGTGTAAAAAATACCAGACAACTAGGATAGAATTGAAGAGGAAAAATATTGTTTTACTTTTAAAATACACAGAAATTTGAGTATGTTTATGTGATGTGAGAATTTATAAGTAACATTTAGTTCATGTATTGTAGTAGCGTGGTGTTGTTGAAATTATCTGTAATAAAAGACTGAGCGTGATACAATCTCTTCATGATCGTAAAGAAAAAATTAAACATGAATGCTGGAAAAAGTGACTTTGATATATTTTGAAAGTGACTTCAAAAGTGTTATATCACCATGTTTGAAACTAGTGAAATACAGAATTTAGGTTCCTGTTGGCTGCATGAACTCCTTTTACATATTTGGCATCACTGCAAACAAAGATGTTTATATCCTCATTTAGATGGGCACCATTTTAAGATAAAAAACAAACAAATGTCCACTATCATATTTACTGATTTTGGGAGGAAAGCCTTTGTGGAAAGTTTTTTTTTATATGTTCTACTAATGATTTGAATCAAGGTATTCTTGTAAGCTTTTATGCTTTGATCAATTTCTGTAAGATAAGAAAGAATTTGCCATGATTGTTATTTCTATAGAGTACATGATCATCAAGCAAGGCCCTGTTTAGCCAAACTTTGAAAGTGGATTTAACAAAATAAACTCCTTTTATTGTATCTGTTCAGAGGATTATTTCTCTTTCATTCTTTTTGTCTGTATTTCAGGAGAGCGTCCATTTCCATGTGACATTTGTTCAAGGTCATTCTCAACTTCGACGAGTCTTAAAACACATCGCATCACACATAGCGGTACCATGTTGTACGACTGTCCTGTCTGTGGGCGGCAATTTAATCGTAAAAACAACCTCAATGTTCACATTAAAAGGCATAATAAAAACAGAAGGTTTTCATGCCCCAAATGTAGTAATGGGTTTGTCATGAGAGCCCATCTTACAGCGCACTTAAAGCGGACTCATAAATTCGAACTGAGTGCCGATCAATTGAATAGTCCTGAATTCCTAGATAGTACTGAAGAGTTACACAGTGAAGCGGAAATAGGGGAAGATTCTAATATTGGAGGAGAACTCAAATACAGCCAAGATATAGATATGAAAATTGAAGATGAGTGTGATAGTCAATCAGTAGATTGTGATAATAATGGGTATCCAGTTAAGGGTATTAAAAGTGAGGTACACGAAATAGGTTATATGACATAACAATGATATGGAGTGACATGAAGTTTGAAGCTATTTTTATTTTCGGTGATATTTTATTATTCGTTGGAAAGTGCGCACACGTTGACATACAGATTTGGTTTGGAGCTATGATCTGGCATATCAGTTACCCCAGCTACGATGAATTTAAAATCGATTTGTACCATCGCTACACAGAATCTAGTTTTTTCATCTTTTCAGTTAAAAAAAATCATCGTAAATATGGACTAGCAGCTTTCAAATTTGTTTCTTGTTTTGATCTCAGACATGTTCAAAATTCAGAGACCTAATATCTTTTGCGATAAGCTAGTGCCTTGCCATATTTCAAATATTTTTCTTGTCTGTAAAATTATTTTTATCTTGAATATATAGTTCAGTCAAAATATATAAGACTATATATCATGAAGAATTGAATAGTCTAGAATGATAAAAAGCTACTTTGTCAGTTGTATCATTTTACTGTCTACACAGAATCCTGATAAATTTTCTTTAATATTTTTTGAATTTCATGTTTTTTATATTTGTGTTGTTATATGATTTAGGTCCATAAGGCAAGCAAGGCTTGGTGCACTTTTAATCAGTTTTAATTAAATTTGTTTTTTTTTATTGTTACTGTCTGTTTCAATACATAATATCACAGCTAATTTTTGTTTCTCTTTCTTTGTTGTTATCAGTGAAACCTGTATCATATGTTGTGCATTGAGCTTCTTTTTCATTGGTATCCCAACAATCTGTATGTCGGCGATTTAAAAGACCTATTAAGCCTCCAAAATGATATCATTTTTATTTCTCAAAAACCTTTTCTTTCTTTTTTTCTTGTCACAGTTTCCAAAAGGTAACTCATTGGCCATCTCAAGGAACTTTCTTCTTTTGCTTTTTTTTGCTTTTTATACGCCCGTTTGAAAAGCGGATCATATTATAGTCCCCCCCCCCTGGCGACCATCTCCTACATGCATGGAGGAATTTTAATGAAACTTCAAAGAAATGTTCAACACTCTGACACATAAATCCAGTCTCAGGTAAAGGTCACACTTGGAGATCATTGAAAAACACTTATCCGGAGCAAAACCTCTACATGCAAAGAGGGATTTCAATATACTTTGGCACAAATATTCACCATTGAAAGGCGGAGTGTCACATGCAAAATTTAGGTCCCTGCAGCCAAGGTCAAGGTCACACATAGGGATCAAAGTTCAGATAAAAATGTATTCAGACGATTTAGTCATCATTTATTAAGGGATTGAAACACAAATGGTCATTATCATGACTACAGGTGCTAGTTTCTTAAGTTGTCAAAGATCGAACATGCTATAAATTTATTATAAAGCATTATTAAACACATGTTTGATCTTTCTAAAGAATTTAAAAATAATCGATTTCTGAAGTGTAATGTGCCTTTAATATTGAAGCCTGGTACTGACATTGAAGACAATTTACTTCTATACAGACTCTTCGTTATTCATTCCTTATTTTGTTCACTTTTTAGCTCACCTGAGCAGGTGAGGTATAGATACCAGCTGTTGATTCATGTCTCATCAACTTGTGCTAACATTTACCCCAATAGTGTCGATTGATTTTAGTGCCATCTGATGTCTAAATCATGATCGGCATAATTCCTTATTATGATTAAATGTTTTGTCCAGACTGAAAAGTGGAAGTCCATTTAAGATATTTAAGGTAGTAAAAATTAGAACATTTCTTAAACCACCAAGCTAAAACTATACCTCCTTATTTTGATGTTAAGAAAAGAAGAAAAATTATTAGGTCAACTGAACCAGATTACAAACGAAAATACATAATTATGACATCTGCTCTTTGAATACTTGCAGAGATATTAATTTTTTTAGTATTTTTTTTTTCTGAATAATATTTTTTTGCAGCAGAGAGGACGGGAATGTAATATTCTGTATGTATAAGAATTATTTGTATTTTTTTTGGCCAAAAACAGTTCCACATGTTTAATATTTGTACCAATTTAGCATGATAACTTTAAACCATATAGAAGAACACTTATAGAACCCTGTTGGTTTACGTTTTACAAAACGTATGATGACTAAATAATGAAGTTAAAACAAATGTTGGATATATAAAATTACATATATCAAGTTTATATATCCAACAAAGAACATATTTGTCACATGCCCAAAGCTTATGCTTGAAACTACATAAAAGTTGTTTTTTTTCTAACATGGCAAGTGATTTCCTACCATTCACCATACCAACATTGGGGAAAAAAAAATGTAATTAACCTTAGTAATGTTATAGTTAACTGAGAGCTTTCATTTGACTCAATATGATACAATAGTCATTTGTTTTACAAAAGAAGATTTTTGTAGCGGAAGTTGAAATTTACACCTGAGCTTTTGTAAAGAAACTCGTATTCTCTTTTTGTGGAACATCATTAGATTTGAGATGGACAGAGTATTGTATGAATGACACTTTTTATTATAATATTTTGAAATCATAAATGTAAAAGACGCTTTCATTCATTAGACAAAATGAATAAGCCAGATGTGAACATTATATTAATCTACAGGTAGCTTCTTGTGAGTTTTTCAAAGCTAGAAATAGATAAAGACCTTTAAAAAAACATCTTCTGGTGTATGTTTAATGGATGGATCACCACTGAACAGTGTAACACATACTTAGTTCTCTATCAATGTATAACAAAATAACTGCAATTATAAGCTAGAGATGGCTAAAATGCCCTTTTATTCCAAATGAAAATGTCTTCTTCCTGATGAAACTCTACCAACTCAAAAGTATGAAAATTGAGAGAGTTTTAGTTCATATGCACTGCAATTCTCCTTTATAAGATATATCAATAGATAAAGTTATAAATTTCAATGTCTTCTTGAGTTATGCCATGTAGAAAAATTTAAGTTTTAAGTTTAAAAATATCAGACAGTTGAGACTATTTGGCACTGCAGTTTTCTTTATAAGATTTAACCTCATAAAATTTTAGGTTTTTAACTAAAATAATTTTTAAGTTGTATACTTCAGACAATTTTTTATAGACAAAATTTGGAAGGCAAAACCTACTCAAAATCCTTCTGTTTTTAGTGGGATCCCTTTATCTTCAATGGGAGATAATAAGTTAAGGTTGGATTAGATATTTATTCTTAAGGATTCAAAGACTAAAAAGCAGATGTATACATAAATAATTTATTTGCATAGACTACACTAGGTAGTAACAGCATTTCAACATGATGAAGGCAAAATGCTAATCTTGTTTGTACATATACACAAATTATATTAACACATCTGTACATATTATAAACTGTGTTAACATATTTCATTAAGATAAAATACTGACTCACTCATTAAAATTGCTAGATCAATTTAGAACTGACAACTTTTTACAGATTCAAAAGTATATTGATGCAACCTGTTCTCTTAATTCATAGCGTTATTCATTGTGTTAAAACCTAATTTCTTAAAATTCTGTATTTGTTAGGTTTTGATGCTGATGTGCTGATTATTAAGTAAAATTACTACCACTGAACAGCTCTCCTTCTTAACCTACTGTAACCGAAAGTGATCAGCCTTTGCCACCAGTATAGAACCAGGCCAGCCTGTACATCTGTGCAGTCTGATGAGGCTCTATACTGTTGGCAGCTTAACTTTTGTATTTTGATATTGAAATCCCTTGAATTTTGATGGACTGTTCAAATTCAAAGCTGGACAGATCCATTATAGAAATATAGCAGATTATGGGTAAATATAAAGGATTATTTAATTTTATCCATGAAAATTGGTGTTATATCAGTCAAATATATTTCATATTTTTTTTAAATAAATATGAAATATAAATATGAAAGTGGGCCGAGTCAAAACTCATATTTATTTTAAGGGACTTCTTTCGCCGTTTTGTTTGAAAAATCTGATAAATACAAAACAACTTTTTCTTGAATATTGTTTTGAAAACTATCTAGCATGATAGAAAATGGTCTAACTAAGAAAATTAATCCGACTGAATTAATTACTGAATTAAAAACACCAATATTTTTAATTCAGTAATTAACGCTGTACAGACGTTTAAAGAGTTGTTTACATGACGTCACAATGTAGCGCCAAACAGCGCGTGCTTACGCATAAATTACTGCGCGCTGTACAATTGCAGTTGGTAGCAAGCAAGGGGGTTCGTTACCATTTTCTTTGATAATGAAATTAAATAAAAAGGTTATTTTTTCGTTTTTTGTGAAATATGGTATATATTTTCACTCAACATGATAAAATGCCACATATTTTCACTCGCCGTACCGGCTCGTGAAAATATGTGGCATTTTATCATGTTTCGTAAAAATATATTCCATATTTCACGCAAACGAAAAAATATCCTCTTAATATCATTTACAGAGCTTCAAACTCTGCCATTTCAGTTATTGTTTTTTTTTTGTTTTTTTTACACTTGCTTACAAAGTTTTTGTAAAGAATTGTCAATCTCAGATTAATAACAAGCCCTTTTCAATACTTAAGCCAATCAAAAGTCAACACTTACTGAAGGAAAACCATAAATAAATGTAAAATATTACAATTATGTCGAAAAAAACTTTGAAGGAGAGCTTTCAGAAAATATAGCATGTAACCAAATACGTGTAGTTCTTGCACGGTTTAGAAATAAAAATAAATTAACAGTATCATTTAATTAA